CTATCGATTTATCGCCCGATAATCGATCGATTTAACTATTACTAGATGCACCTGCAGACGCATCTAGTTAAAAGTCCCTTTTCCAACTAGTAATCTAGATGGCAACTAGTTGAGCTGTGTATCGCCCGATTATAGACGAAATGTATCTAGATTTTTCTCATAGGTGATGCTTGCTTGGGATACTTGAAACAAAACTTTTGCCACCATTAAATAGCCCGTATATTCGAGTATATTAGTCGCAAGATCAATCAAGAAAAAGTGCACTTTTGTTTTCCTACCTAATGTCCACATGTGTCTACATGCTCTCTCAAAGATATTCAACAATTGTTCAGCAACCGAACGATACAAGTTAATAGTCAAAAATGGACATTTAAAAAGACTTTTTGGTGAATCGTAGATGAATCTTGTTCTTAATCATATCCTTATACTAGTATTATTCAATAAAAAAAAATTTTTTTGATTCAAAGTAACCTGTATCTTGATAAGAAATTCGCAAAATCTAATCTGAAAAAATTTTCGTATCTTATGATCATAATAAGATTTTAACAGGATTTAAATAAGTTTCTGAATGGAAGTGATCATTTAGTCTCGAATATCACCTACGCCAAACGGTATGACTATGAATTGTAGTTGATTATCGAAAAAAATATTTTTAATCGAATCGTTGTTGTCACTGTTCAATTATTGTTGTTTGCATTTGACCACAAACAAAAACTGATTATTTCAATTTTAATGAAGGTCTTCAAATGTGAAGTGCAAACATCAAATCATTTTTATTTTTTGAATATCACATACATTCTATGCATGTTAGCATGTTCTATGTTTTCGTTAATCACACTTTAATTTCTAAAATCTCGATAAACCATCCTATTTAAATCTTATTACAGTCAACGTTCGTTCTTTCTATAATTAAACTTCTCATATATCACATGTTTCCGCCTCTGATATTGTTGATGTTAATTAAAGATATATGAGAGAGAGATTAGATTTCATTCACCTTTTTCTCACAATATCAGTGTACATATAAAAATTGCGCATGTTATGTTTTACACTTCATTAACAACGATTTTTCATTGCAAACAAGGAAGGAAGATCTCGGTTCGCTTTTTTTTTGTTTTGCTATTGTTCAAGAATTTTTTAATGAGATGAATACACATCTCTTTATTAAATTATCTATTCCGTATACCATTGTCTTGCACAATTAAAATGATGACCTAAAAATATGGACATTATTACCATCGACAAAAGAGAGAAAAATGCAGAACATGACAATGAACAACAGTAGAGAATATGGCCTTGCTCGAAGAATCAACTTAAGCGTGCCGATGTTAATGAATGAGAATGAGATTTGAAAGACACATATATACACACATTGAAATAAAAGCCATTGCACAGTAACCATGCTGCGAGATATATGTGATAGAACTACATTTTTAGGACAATAAATGTTGATTAATTTTAAATACGGATAAGTGAAACATTGTAGAAGACATAGTATCAAAAAATGGTGATAGAAATAGGAAAAGTAGAAACTAGAGTTCAGACACTTTAGCTGAGAGAAAACTTGTGACTTCATTAGTTCTAATTAAAAAATAGTAATAATGCAATGTAGAGTAAAACAAACGAATAGAACTAAGAGATACTACTCGTAAGATTCAGACAGCGTCAAGCTGGCAGTGATTGATAATGTTTTAGATTTCGATAAAGTTCATATGTAGTTGATTTATGGTTGAAATTTGATAGTATAGGTATGTTTCTTTTAAGAATTATAGGCGTCGCACTGGTTAGTGCAAATTGATAAAAATTCGAACAAAATCAGAAAAAATTATTTTGTTATTACGATAATTATTAGAAAATTCATCTGCCAATTTCAACTAACGCCAGTACAATTTCAATATAACTAGAAATCGATTTTTATATTGAAACGTTGGACTCAGTTAACAACATCCTGAGGTTTCAAACTGCATCTATCATTCAAGAGATGGATATTTAAAATTAAATTTCTGCATGAGCGCAAAATCATTTAGAGCTGAAAGTTCATTATTAGCTATGAGAGAATAGTCAACATACACCTTTTTCTTAGACATGTCCTCTTACGTAGCACTTTGTCCGTGACTTGTAACTTTTTATGATAACACCCTGAAAAGCTGGAGAATATCTTCTTGAAAAGCAAGCAAAACGAAATTGAGCACATGACCCTTATTGGTTTCGAATAACTAGATAAATTTCATCTGGAAAACTTAAAACTTTTCTCAATATTTCACCATTAATAATGAATGATATCAGAATGATGAGTCATTTCCTTCTGGCATCTAATTTTATTCATCATATATTGTGTACGGTTCAAGGTTTCTTTAGATGTGTTCAATTAATCAATTTATTTTTTGCGCTGTAAGTGTAAGGAAGTTAAAGCTTAAACGTTGTAAAACAGAATAAAAATAAACAACAACAGAGAGTAAAGGAGATGGTAAACAAAAATGACTCAGGTATTAATATACGAACAAACACAATGAGTTGAAAAACAAAGGAGAGAATAGGACATACAACAGGTGGTTATAATTTCAGACGCTGAGATGGAGAATGTCTAACTAAAAGCTAGATCTTCAACGAGCAGAAGTTACTTGTAGACTTATCAACTTGTCAAGAATATGGAGGATGTAAAAATGAGAGATAACTTTTATGTAATTCGCACAAGCGCTCGATACTATATAATCGAAACACCTTTGCTTACCATTCTTACGCTGGTGCTTGTTTACTAGTAAAGCCCGAAAAAAAGTTCTATTTGTTTGTAAGATAAATATTGAAATACTAGAGTCCAACGAGCTCTATAATCCTGACTAGTTTTCTCTTTTATCATATCGTACCAAAAAATTAAATTGGCTTTTGCCCCAGAAAATATGGATTACACATGAAAAGCAAGACCACATTTCGAAGCATTAGAACATACAGTGAAAAAAATTGAATTTGGACGAGAACTACAAAAGTTTTAAAAATTCAAGGCCGCGACCATGAGATTCTATCGTCTGTCGTGTGTTTCCCGGGTGATAAGAATGCCATTTGACAGGGAAGAACAAGTTCTAGAAAACAGAAAAATAATTTTCTAAACGTTGCCAGTGATGTCACAGGATCGAAAATGTATGTTTTTTCTGATATCCACTTTCACGTATCTTGCTGCTGATTTTTGCACTGATACCAGGAAGAGTAAATATGATGAAAAATTACTATCAAAAGCAGCAGAATAGTAGTCCAATATTGGAATAAAATACACTTTATATATGTATAAACGTTCAATAATGCTGAACCTGAATAATTAAATAAAATATCATAAACAGTTTGACACATTTTCTGATACTTTTGGGAACTTGGTCCAACCCTAAAATAAACATTTGTAAGCGATTAATCTGTGTCATGAACTGCTTTTCTCTTTTCTTTTGTCTCTAACATTTAATGCAAAAGGATGTGATAATAATTGACACTGAACCTAACCCTAAACCAGCACTTAACGATACACAAGCACACAAACAGGCAGAAAATTATGAATATGGAAGTACAACAGTAAACTATGAATTAAGAGACATTTTGTCTTTGAGTAAAACAGTCCTAATTCCTAGAGTTACAAGCCCTATATCGAAATTAGTTCATACAACATTTTAATCATTGTTGAGTGAGAATAAAGTGAAAATGCTAAATAACAAATTTTTAGAATATTCAGTCGGAATACAAATAAATTATTTTGTTTTATCTGTATTATCAAAATCGAGCTAAATTATTTGAATATCAATGGTGTGAACATAATGCACACCAATGAATGGTATTATTTTCTTCCTAGTGTTGATTTCACAATCAAGAAACTGAAGATCATTCGATAATTAATATTGTATAGCAACCAGCCTATCTAGTAGAAATAATTTCACAAGAAGTACGCAAGATGTACTCTTTAATTGTAATAGATGTTTAGATATTTTCTGTCGTCATTCTTGTAATAGAGATAAACGTCAAGGTAACTCCTTGTATAAATATAGAACACAATGGTGCAATTATAACTGAATATATAAAAGAGGTGTGCCTATCTGAAGGAAAAGTCTTAAACCTACTTTACGTTTGTGATTTACATAAGATTCATCGTAACATTTTTCAATAAACCTGTTCAACATAGTTCATCATGCGATTGAGCTTATATGCATTAATAAATTTTTTCATTTAGATACAAACTCTAGTCGGTATGATGTTTTTTCCATCAATTCTGTTGATATTGTTAACACATTTTAATTATGTACAATGTGCAACCACATGCAATCGAGGACAATATTTAGATAATACTAATTGTTATAATTGTGAACCAGGTTATTATTGTCCAGATGGTGTACGACAAATACCTTGTAGTCCAGGAACATATCAGGATGATTATCAATCATCAAGTTGTGCTAGTTGTTCAAGTGGTTATTATACAACACTCTATAATTCAACGAAATGTTTGATTTGCCCAATTGGGAAGATGTGTCCAAACAATGATCGAGATCCTATTACCTGTCCAGCTGGTAACTAAATCATAACTTATTTGTCTCTAAACTTTACATGTTTTTATTCGAAATCTGTGTTTTATAGGCACTTATCAGAATTCTGCTGGCAGTACAACATGTGTACAATGCAGCCAAGGTTATTACAGTACATCCCCAAATTCATTGGAATGTCAAATATNTGTTTGATTTGCCCAATTGGGAAGATGTGTCCAAACAATGATCGAGATCCTATTACCTGTCCAGCTGGTAACTAAATCATAACTTATTTGTCTCTAAACTTTACATGTTTTTATTCGAAATCTGTGTTTTATAGGCACTTATCAGAATTCTGCTGGCAGTACAACATGTGTACAATGCAGCCAAGGTTATTACAGTACATCCCCAAATTCATTGGAATGTCAAATATGTCCGAAAGGAAGTGAATGTCCGCGACCGGACCAGGGACCTTTGTTGTGTCGTCCAGGAACATATTCCTATGATTATGGAGCTTATGCTTGTCAAACGTGCACAAGTGGCACGTATACGACTCAGAGTGGTACTGTTTCATGTGGTAAGTTATTATTTGCTAGAAAAAGAATACATTAAATAATATTATCGGTTTCAGTCGCCTGCCCAAAAGGAAACGAATGTCCGAGAGCCGATCAGCCACCTTCACCGTGTCGTCCTGGATCATTCGCAGGAAGCGATGGATTAACGTCGTGTACTGCATGTTCACAAAACTATTATGCCACAAAAAGTGGACAAGTCGCTTGTCAGCTGTGCCCCGTGGGTTTTGACTGTTTACAACGTGATCAGGATCCACGACCGTGTCCGGCTGGATACAGTCGAGATTATAGCCAAACATCATGTACAAAATGTTCGAGTGGTACTTATGCAAAAAATATAAGTTCATCTCGTTGTGACTCATGTCCAGCTGGAAATGAATGTCCTTCCGCCGATCAGTTACCATCTCCATGTCGTGCTGGTACATACGCATCAAGTATGAACACAGCAACATGTTCAAAATGTCCATCAGGCTACTATACAACAAAAACAGGTAGTGTGCAATGTGACATTTGCTCAAGAGGAAGTTCTTGCGCAAGTCCAGATCAAGCACCCATGCTCTGTCCACCTGGTACATACAGTGGTTTAAAAACTACAATGTGCTCAAAATGTACGCAGGGTTACTACACAGTGACGAACGGATCAATCGATTGCAATATTTGTCCGAGTGGTTATCAATGTTTAAGTAGTGATAAAGCACCAACCCCGTGCCCAGCAGGAACTTACTCAAATTATGGTAGTACCACATGTCTATCGTGCAGCAGAGGATATTACGCTGTTTCACCCAGCTCTTCATCATGTTTACCATGTGCACCCGGTTACTATTGTGATGATGTGACGATGTGTCCAAAACAATGTGCAAAAGGAATGTATTCTGATTCAGGTGTTGTCACATGTTCTCAGTGCAGTAATCCAAACTGTAGTTCAATAATGGGGGTATATGACTGTACCACATGCACACAAGGAAAAGCCCCGCAGTGTAAACAAAGTTTTCACCCGCAAAGATCAGTTATATTCGATGCATGGACTTTGACATGAAAACTAGTAACATTTCTGAAGTTATATAAAATTGTTTTTTTATTTTGAATTTTTGTAAAAATTTATTTCTGGAAAATAATATCTAAATAGATCCAAGTCAGGTATCTCAAAGCGAAATCCATCTTATATCTCACTAGTAATCAAATTTTCCTGATCATTCTTGACGATTCACACTTCATAATCACGTACAATGTGTACAAGTCACAACATGATCGTAACAAACTGCTGGCTTGATGGTCAGAAGGTTTCTAAAAGTTTTTGAATTCAATGCTTTGTTATCTTGTTTTGTTACTATTTAAAACTAATGTGAAAGAGTGAAAATGTAATACTTTTGTCATGGCTCTGCTCTGTTTTAGGGTTATATTTTTCCAAAGTACCACTTTTAAATCACTGAATGAATCAGGCATGTTTTTTTAACTAATTCACGTGTTTTACTTCTTGCTCCTTTTTTTTGCAATTCAGTGAAACTGAACAATACATATATTTAAATACTTGGTCAACTATCAAGAACTATACTTATGCTTATTAATGCATTGGATTGAATTAAAAGACTTCCTACGATTGTGATTGTACATGCGAGCGATTAGTTGTTTGCATATGAATTAGCGCAGGTACTTGGCAAGTATTTTCACAAAAAGTCATTTGATAACTCCTAGTTCAAACACCTAAGAGTACTTGATAGGTACTCGATTTATTTGCGAAAAAGAAATATTGAACATATCTTGAACAAACACTCGCATGCAAGCACGAGTACGAGTTGTAGTAGTCAAAATGAAAAAATGAAAAAAATAGGTGAGATACCTATTCACTTTGTCTATAGGACAATTTAGTTTCTCTCCTATAATAAAGCTTCAGATGGCGATGAGGTTACTGTTCACATTATTATAGAGAGATAAATGATGTTGAAGACAACCACAGATTCAACTATGACTTTCAGATTAATAATACTTGTTCTTGATTTTGTATTGACATCGTCGCATTACAATTGCACAACACTGGCTGCTTGTGATTTTTATCGTAAGGAAGTGACCACATTGAAAACATTTTGTTTCGTTTAGCAATTGGTTGTCACATTCATATGATTGACAATACCAGCATCTTCTGAAATGGAATAATGATGCATAATATGCGGTAGTACAATTATCTGAGTCCATATTAGACATGTGCGGTAACGATAAAAACGTGTTACCGACGGTAATTTACTGATGACTACAGAGTTGTTAATAATATATGAATTAAAATCAATTTTCCAAAAATAAATCGGTGAAACTAATTTTATTACCGTTACCGGCTTACGGTAAAAACTTCAAAATTTTACCGCAGTAAACTTCGGTAAAAAATTCCTTTATCGTTACCGCTCATGTCTAGTCCATATAGACATTTTTATTTTGTAAGATCTGTTCCATTTCATTGTTTGAACAAAAGTCGACTTTTACTCTTTTTGATATTTTACCATCGTTGTTGAACACATGTATGACTTGAGCAAGTGACTGATATCTTACTGATAACAGTTACCAGATTTCATTAACGAATCTAGTTTGCGGAATATCATGCATCATGATCGAGTTACACATGAGAATATTTTACGCATGAACCATATTACGTAGTTCGTATATTGATTTTTTGTTGAATCTTACTATATCGTTTAGAAGTTTTTCAGATTGATAGTGTTTAATCTCCAAATCGAAGTTTACGTGGTGGGAAGAAAAACTGTTGACTTGATTGATTACTACTCTGACTCTTGTCCTTGTTCGAATATTGATCATTAGTTTACTGATCTTGAACATTCCAACTTCATTTCACCTGTATAAGCTACTTTTACTCTATCCATGAAATAAATACGATGAATCAACTGATTAAATGGTTGAAGAAGTATTCCCATATTGAAACTCACCACAAATCGAGGTGAAGCTTGTTTGAACGGCAACTGAATAGTTCAGAAAGCATTCGAACGTAGAAAATATAGGCACGCACGAATGGGGAAAATAAAGGAACACATATTTTTGAAAAGCATCCGTTCGAAAGCGTTGTCAATCGTTCTTTATTGGCAGTGACAATATCGTCCACCAAAAGACGGCTATGAATGCATTCGTCGGTTTGGGGTTGTCGTTTGGTAGCGTTTTAACTAAACAATTTTTCCGTTGACTGATCTAAAACAGTAAATAGGATCTAACGAAGCTCGTTAGACGACTCTAACTGCATTCAGAATATATCTGTTTCTTATTCATGAACACTGAGTGAGGGAAATTTTAAATTTCTTCTAGAAGAACTTGGTGTTATACACGAAATGGGATATTCGCGGTTTCAGTTGTTCCTATCTAAGAGTGTACGATTTGGCTTGCGTGAAATCAAAACGGGACAAAAAATATCAGACATGGTTGGAGTATGACTCATTTTCTTCGTGCTTATAAGTAATATAAGTCACCATCCTTTCTACGCGGTCTGCTGGAAATTTTAGACTTTGTACTGTTCAGAGGTAAAAACACATAATTGGAAAAATACTTGGGTCGTATGTCTTTATGCATATGAAATTTATAAAGAAAGAGAACACTTACATGCGGAAAGCTCTGATGATGGCTTTTGCTGTTTATATACGCGAAGTGTATAAACGTTAAAGCAAAATTATAAGGGATAAAGAGACATATCTGTGAAGTGCTAATGATGAAAGAAACGAAGAACAAACATTGATTTGTACACGTTTTTCAAAACATTGTTTTATTTTCTATATAGTTTATACTCTCTAACAATGGAAATAAGAAGATTTCCAATTCATCGTGAGATAATTGGTCAGGCAATTATTTCTCTCTTTCTGATGCGATTTTCATTTACGATTTTCATTTATTCTAGCTAAAGTCATCAATGAACTTATTCGTAGAAAATTCGATTGGGAATTTGTATTCAATTGGGAATCAGAAATTGTAAACAAGGTATGTGATAGAATTCATCTATAACGTAGGCAATATATCCAGCTTCGTTTCTATTACTACAGGACTTGGTAATGATATCAGTATTTGGTAATGAAATTGACTTTTCTATTGTTCAGCTAATCATCAATAAGTGAGTATTCTATGTATCACACTGTTGTAAAATATTGAACTTGTGTTTGAAGTTTTCATTTCGATTATCACGATAACAAAACAATAGATGAAATTATTGAAGCTTTTGCGGAAGAAGTTGATATGGAGGGTATTGAGTATACAATAATTAAATTATTATTATTATCAAATACTAAATTTCATTATTACATTTTCTTTGCCGTAGATATCAAATATCAAAATACGATCGATATTAAATTAGAGACACTCGATAGACGCCTGAACAATGACTCTGTGGACACAAGTAATTTGATTTATCAAACTATACAAATGGCTGGCATTCCGAAAAACCTAACGCGTCATACGTTTGCTTATTTAATATTAGTTTTTTGCCACACGTTCTAGACCAGATATTGTTATTGTATAGCAGCAGCAAACAGCCGTTGTCTAACCGACTGATGGAGACTTGTTTTCTCTCTAACCGGAGAACTCATATCTATATTTTACCGGCTTCCTTTAGATTTTAATGACGTCAATACAATTCAATCGTACGTTTTTCTTGTCTCATCTATGATCTCTTTTTGTTTATTCTGGCACTTATTTTAGTATGTCAACTATTACATTTGAAAGAGATACCGACAGCGACACGAACTCTGTTATTATTATGGATAATGAAATTGACAACGTCATTAATTTAGAACAAGAAAAAGGTATGATGGCATCAACTCTCGTCGTATAATTTTTCATGTTGATCATTTCCATCTTTAGAAACAATTTTACCTGTTTCAACAGAAAATTATTGTTATCAATTTGCAATAGAGAACGAAGTTCAAATCCTAACAAGTGTCAATACCTCTACTATCGATAACAAAAACGTGTTGTAACACACATAAAGAACTTTTTTAACTTTCTGTTGTGTTATTTTCAAAATAGTTACGAAAACTGTGATATTTCATTAGTTTATAGCATCTGTCATGTTTCTCATTCAGTTTCTTGCCCGTTTTGTGTGAATAAACTCCATTCTGCAACGATATTTGATGTGCTGTTTAGTATATTAGAACTTTGACTAAAAGATTTTATCAAATTTATCATCAAAAATCGCTTTGATTGACACATGTGCGAATAAAGCTGTCGAGGTATTATCGCTTTTTTCATACATGCCTTTCACTTCATATGAAAAAAATCGTATAAACTACTATATTTTTCTTTTTGAAATGAAAGAGTAATAGTTTATCGCATGTATGTACTTCACGTTTTTGCATATTCCATCGTAGAAAACATGTGAGTGAAAGGTAGTAATACCATCTTTTTAACTATATGCATGAAAAAACATATGGAATTAAAAATAACTGAATTAGAATTTGTCTAATACGAATTATTTTATAACATTGGCACACGAATCTTTACGAGTTCTATTACGATTCCAAGTTCTATATAACGTAAATTATTGACCAAATTATTTTGAATGTAATTGATAAGAAAATGTGTTTTTTCTTACGCACGTACCTCAATATTTTATGTTCGAGCTGTAGAGGGATAGATTTTTAAATAACAGAAAGTATCATTAAATCTATAGAATGAGTAACAGCAGATTTTATCTGAAAAATATTAATTAGTCCTTCAAAATTCTCTCTCAAAATAATAGAAGATAATAACTTTTTATCAATTTTTTAGCTTTAGAAAGAAGGTACGTTAAATGGACGAAGATATTCGAATTTATGAAGAAATAATACCGTTGAAAACTTATCCCTATTTCGATCAGAATCCAATACCTCAATTTCATCGTCTCTATCCATATTCTCGCTTTGATGGCTATGCAAATGAAGGTCACACTCAAAATTGGACTATGATCGTTTTGGAAAATGCCTATATTAAACTATGGATATGTCCTGAAATTGGAGGTAAAATATGGGGAGCTCGAGAAAAATCGACTGGGAAAGATTTTATCTATTTCAATCATGTTGTTAAATTTCGTGATGTTGCCATGCGAGGCCCATGGACATCGGGTGGAATTGAATGGAATTTTGGTATTATCGGACATTCACCATCATGTTCAGCACCAGTCGATTATTTCTGGAAAAAAAATGAAAATAAACAAATTGTAAGCTGTACAGTGGGTACAACGGATTGGTCATCACAAACAACATGGCGTGTAGAAATATGTTTAGAAAAAGATAAAACTTATTTTCAAACGCGTACATGGTGGTTCAATAATACGGCACAAGATCAGTCATACTATCAGTGGACAAATGTTGGAATTAAAACAAATGGAAATCTCGAATATATATTTCCAGGAAATAGACATTTAGGTAATTTTTAACTATTCACATTTGAATAAATTATTCACATCTAAGAAGTCTTTACTACTATCAGTTTCAAAATAGAATTCAGAAACTCTTTTTTGACTAGCATTTGAAACAAAGAAGATAGAGACATTCGATTTTCGATCTTCATTAGCCTAAACCGAAACACAAACAAATACTTTTTGTTATTCCCAGTAGAAGATTTTTAGTACCGCGTTACCGTTCTAAGAATTTTAAAACAGTCATATCTCTGATGATCTATAATCTAGCAAAAAGTGTTGTGTATTTATTTCTGTTCTACTGACTATGTTTAGGACATGACGGTCGTCACTTCTCTTGGCCCTATGATGAGTTGAACAAACATCAAATATCTTTTTATAATCAAAACGATTTTGGCGAATATAAATCGTATCATGTCTATGGTACAATTACTAACTTTTGGGGTTGTTATTGGCACGAAGATAATTTTGGTTTTGGACATTATTCATTGTATGATGATAAAGTGGGTAAAAAAATATGGATTTGGGGTTTATCTCGGTATGGCATGATATGGGAAGATTTGTTAACTGATGAAGACGGTCAATATTCTGAAGTACAAGCGGGCAGATTGTTTAATCAAACAGTGGCGTCAAGTTCAAAAACACCATTTAAACATCGAACATTTTCACCTTATACATTAGATAAATTTGATGAATATTGGTTTCCAATTAAAAATATTCAAGGACTTACGCACGCTTGCAAACAATTATCATTTAAAATAAATGAATATTCAATTCAAATATGTGCAAATGAATATTTAAATCAAACATTAATGTTGAAGTTTGAGCATGACATCTTATTCAAACATAAACTGGATTTAAAACCAATGCAAACAATTGATCTAAAATTTCCAAAATTACAGCAAAGTCAACTAAAACAGGTTGAATATCTAATCAGTTTTTGTGAACTACTGCTATAATGGATTAGCCACAAAGAATTGGTCAATTCTTAATTTATCCCTACTATTTTCTTCCTTTGCTACAAGATTCGCTATACAATTCTCTACAAAAACAACAACAAGTTGAGCGTTTGATTATAAAATATAAGGATGAAAAGTGAAAAGTGAAAAGTGAAAAGTGAAAAGTTATACGAAAAATACTGAGCAACTCCGAAATAGTCAACTTGGTAATCTAAAAAGCTAGTTTCTGCTGTTGTAGAAAAAAACCCAACTAGTCACTTTATAGCTCTTGAAAAACTCAATACTCTACGTGTAATTAAAACTTTCCCACAGTACAACTGATTACATAAAAAATTATTTTCTTAATTTGTTTTATCAAAAGTCGTCCTTTTTAAGGGGTAATTTTGTATCACTGCGTAAAATCAAATATATTTAGTTCGGGTTATTTTTATTTTAAAGTAAAACAACGTGTCTACTATAACTAAATATGAAAAAGTTGAAAACTTTCATTCTTCCAATATATTCAAGCGAAAAGATCAAAATTATCTTGCTTTTCAGAGGATTTCAATAAAATTGCTGTGTAAAATTAGGTTTAGAAGAACGTTGTTATATATAAGACGAAAGAGCACTCTTGACAGTATTCGAAAATGATTCCTACATTCTCATTTAAAAATAAAATTTGAGTTGGATAAGAAGTACTTTAGAAAGTTGTCCATTTCGGAGCACCTCAGCATTTTTCACATAACTTTTCACTTTTTACATTTATGTTTTGTAATCAAACGCTCGAAACTGTGTTTTTTTATAGAGAGCGATACAGCGATTCTTGTAGCATAGAAAGAAAATGCTAGAGGCTAACTCTAACTGGAGATATTTGCAATGAACAACTTGACCGATTCTCCATGGTTTTATAATGTTTTTATATTTGTCATACTCTAGGTCAGCATATATTTAAATGACGAACTGATTTATGATGCCCTACAATTACATTATGTACTAAAACGTCCTGTTAATGTTCCTCAAAATTTTGATATTAACTCGTTACAATCGTTATCCATTCAGGGACAAGAATGGGAACGTCAACGTTTATTTCAATTTGCCGTTGATACATATAAAAAATGTTTACAAATTGATCAGAATTATATTCCAGCTTTAAATGGTCTAGCCGGTATTTATTATCGTCATACTAAATATAACGATGCAATTGAACTTCTAATACGTGTTTTATCTATTGATACATACAATTCACGAGCAAACTATTTATATGGTTTAACAAATGTAAAATTAGGAAATATATATGATGCCCGAGATGGTTTTTCTCTATCGAGTCAATCAATTGACTATCGTTGTTCATCTTATATTGAATTGAGTAAAATAGAAATAAGAGAAAAACAATTTAACAAAGCATTAGATTATATTGAAAAAGCACTTGACAATGATAAATATAATTGGCAAGCATTACAGTTAAAAGTATTGTTAGATTTAAATTATGTGGATATAGCACTTGAACAAAATCCATTAAATCATATGTTTCGCTATGAAAAATATAAACAAAATGCCGATAGTTTTCAATCGGGAATACAAACAGAATTGAAACATCAAGTTTATCTTGAATTAGCTACATGGTATTATGATTTGAAGAAATATTCGGATTCAATTCAAATATTAACATTAGCTTTATCAGGTAAGATAACTATTCTTTTGAAAATTGTATATCAATGGAAAAAACGATTTTTTATTAGCTTCTGTCAATTATCCATTAATTCAAATTTGGAAAGCATTTTTATTAGACAAAATTGATAATAATTCTCAATTATCAAATGATTTATTAAATGAGGCTGTGTTAATGGAATCAGATTATGTGTGTCCTCATCGTCAAGAAGATGTTGATATACTAAAATGGGCAATAGAAAAAAATTCAAATTGGAAATTAAAATATTATTTAGCATTGCTCAATATCCACATGTTACAGGATAGTGAGGCATTAACTTTACTATTATCTTGTTCACCTGCTGATGCTAATGATCATTATTATCCATTCTATATCGTACGAGCTATGCTTCTTAAAAAACTAAATAATGATACGAAAGCTTGTGAAAATGATTTGATAATAGCAACTGAAACAAAAAATTGGCGCACAGTATTGACATTATCAAAATTCTATGAAAATAATAATAATTGGCTCAAAGCATTGGAAATTGTCAGATCATTGTACCATGAGAGTGATCAAAATTATTATGCTAGTTTACAATTAGCCAAATGTCTAATGTATACAAAAGAGTACGAAAATGCCATTGATTTGATGAAAAATAAATTTTATATATTGCCAAATGAAGGTTAGTAGTTTTAGTAAGTTTAAATTACAATCAGTCTGACTCAGAAGATGTGTGTGTGACTGCTGTTTTTTCATGATTAAATATTAGTTATTGTTGTACTAAATTCGCTTATTATCTATCCCTAAGTTGTATTGTAACAGCAATAAATCACATTAGTGAATAAAATGCTCTAATATATATTTGTGACAATAGTAGCTAAAATGAGTATTCTCCATTGTTTACTTTACAGGGACATTGCTTGGGCGGTATATTTGGCGTGAAACACATTTATATGCTGCATTAGAAACAATCATAGCAAATAATTACTCGAAAGCACTCATTTATATTAATGAAGCTCGAAAATGGCCGGAAAATTTAGGTGTGGGAAAACCGTACGATGTTGATGAACGTTTAGAAGATTTTCTAGAATTATGCTGTATTCAACAGAATCATGATGAAAAATTAATTTTAGAAAAAAAAATTATGAATTATCGAATCAATTATCCTCATCAATTATTTAAATCTAGCGATCTCCTTACCATTTTCATACTTAAAAAACAGGGATATATAGAAAAGGCAAAGGAATTAATGGACAAATGGTTGAAACAGGATAATTCAATGACTGTCCGTTGGAGTGAAGCTGTATTAAACAATGATAAAACGGGAACTAGTGCTATTTGTAGTGAAACTGAAGAAACCATCGATTCGAAAGAAGCATTACCATATGAAACAGTATTTGAAGATAGAGAATTTTCATTTATAAAACAACTTTACCAAGTAGGATTACTAAGACTGTAAATTTTAAAATATATGGTATTGTCTGAGATCATTATAATATTTGATCTAATTTATAAAAGATTTCGGTCAGTTGAAGATTTTGAGATTAAATGTAACTGTCCTTCAAACATGTGGATATCACAAACGTATCACTAGTGACTTTCATATGAAACCAGACGACTCTTTCTAACTGTAAGCATCTAGATTTCTCATCTAGCAACATCTAGACTACTCCAGATTTCATATTAAAGGAAAATCTTCATTTTCTGAAAAAGATCATAATGAGCAGACATAAGAATTACAGCATTATACTACAGTAGAACAAGAAGATTCAAGATTATTTATCTTCAGAAATTAGGATATTTTGACCCAATTGCTTGTTTAGTTTATTAAAAAATGTCTTAAATTTTAGACGTTTTACAAGAAAAAGATAGAAAATCTTCTTTTCCAATCTCATTAATTTTATGTCCACTTTCTTTCAATGCTTTTTCAATTGCTTTGAGTGTTTGAACTACATGCTGTTGTTGTCCACCCCACACACTGTAGCCCATGTGTCCCACTCTGAAATACTCTGTTTTTATTTTTTTATGCAAACCACCGGCAATAACCACTTGGCTTTCTTTGACTAATCCTAGAAATTTTGTTCGTTGCTCATCTGTCATCTCTTTTGGATAATAAATAGCCGATAGAGTGTTAGCCATATTTTTATCAGTGGTTGGCACAAATTTTAAATCAAATGATTTTATTACAATATTTCGAAACTTTTGAGCATTTTCCTCGTGTAATCGAACAATATTTTCTATGCCAATATCTAACAATAATTTTAAACTTGTGTTTAACGATCGAATTAGATTCACATTTGGTGTGGCGAAATAACTTGGTTTACGATTAGCGTATGCATCCATGATAGGTAACCAGTTATTTAAATTCGCATAGTATGTAGGTACAGGTGTTGTACGTTGACGAAATGTATCGATAGATTGTTGACTAAACATGAGCAGAGCTAATCCAGGTGGTGCACCCAATGCTTTTTGACTACATGTCATAGCTGCATCGATTTTCCAATCGTCAAAAGCAAATCTTTCACCACCAAATGAACAGACACCATCGACCGAAATTAAACTAGTTGGTGATAATTGTTTACATAATTGACTAATTGATTTTACATCATTCAGAACAGCTGTACTTGTATCAACTTGAGTAATACAAATTAATTTATAGACTCCATCTGCTGTTGCTTCTTTGAGTTTTTTCTCAATTTCTGATAATTCAACACTAGCACCAATTTGATTTGCACACACCTAATAATTAAAGACAGAAAGGTAGAAAATCCATGTTGTCAGATCAGTAGAAGTTACCTGATCAACTTTGATTCCATATGTTTCACAACATGTTGCATAACTGTCACTAAAATAGCCTGTATTGATGACAAGTGCTCGATCGTTTTTTTCACATAAATTCGCTGCTATAATATCCCAACCAAGTGTCCCACTACCACTAACAATCAATGGTTGACCATTTTTTGTACCTAAAACACGTTTAAAATTTTCCAATAATTCACTAAATTCGGCAATAAATTGTGGTGATGTATGCGAGAGCGATGGTAAAGCTAATGTGGCTAGAACATCAGGATGATACTCTGTAGGTCCCGGTATCATTAATATTGAATGATCATTTGATGACATTCTTTGCTTTGACAAAGAAAATAAATTATCTAAAACAAATTTTTTTATATGCCTTACGAGTAACGAGCTGTTTAACTTAAAATAACATAAGAAAGCGTAAAAAAGAGAAGAATAGATGTGCAGCTGATATATTTTTTAGTTTCGAACGAGACAGCCTAAATATATGAAGATAAGAACGAAAAATAAAAGTATTGTTCTACTAAATCATATATTGACACAAGGAAGTCAAAGAAATAAACATACAATAAATCACAGCACACCTTCGCGCATATAGGTGTTTGTACAGAAAAGAGTCACTTTAACTGCATGCAAAAGTGTATGTTAGAAAGCAGTTAACGCATTCGCAATGCGCAATACTAAAATAAACTGCATTTTTTGGGTAACTTTTGATTAGTACTTTAAGAAAGAGTAACTCGTTTATGTTACTGGTCCCGAATAGAGAGCCGTATTAAATAAGGAGTATCTCCTTCTTTTGCTCTATTGGCAAATGTCTTGTGTATGACTCGAGTACAGTGTGTTATTCACAACTTAATCGTTCTCTATCTAAATTAACCAGTGATCCATAAAGAATAACCCTCTCAGTATTTTTCCTTTATCTATTGATACTTCAGTTCCTTAAAGTTAACTCTTTTTTGAAAAGATGCGTGGTTCAATTCTATACAAGATCGTATATAAATAGTCGGACAAAGGCCAAATTCCCAGTTTTGCTCGAAGAAAAAGCAACAGTCATCCAGAAGTCTCAACTTTGTAAACGTTTTTTAACGAACTTGATCCACAGTAAAAAAACCATGCTGATGATTGTCTAACCTGGCACTTGGATATTGCCGTATACTATTGAGTGTCCTCTTTCCGAGAGGATTAAAATCAATCTATTCCCGTTGACTTGCGGAGCAGAAATCTTTGATTAATAATTTTATCTACTAAATCGTGAAAATTTTCGAAGAAGAGTATCGACAATTTTTGATAAGCAATATAATCGACTCTTTCCTCATTATTCTGATGGAGAAATCATCAAATTTCTGTGTAAAATGTCGAAATAATGAGCTTATTTAGTTAAGTCTTGACTGACTTGTAGTGATTTTACTAGGTGCCAAAACTGCGTGTCCGAAAATAGTAAAAAGTGGGATTGTACGATTTCGTAAATTCTGTGCCGAAAAGCCAAAAGTGATGACATAAAATTTTCGTACCAGCAAGTCGACAGAGTTTTCAAAGAGCTGTATTTTAGACTATTTAGAATTCATTCAACTAGAAAATGCGACTTCCTATTTGAAAAAAGACTTTTGTGTTACAAAGTTGAGACTTCTAGATCACTGTTGTTTTTTTTCGAGCAAAACTGGGAATTTGGCCTTTATCCGACTATTTATATACGATCTTGTATAGAATTGAACCACGCATCTTTTCAAAAAAGAGTTAACTTTAAGGAACTGAAGTATCAAGAGATAAAGGAAAAATACTGAGAGGGTTATTCTTTGTGGACCACTCGTTAATTTAGATAGAGAATGATTAAGATAACTTTGTTTCTTCAATGCTATAGGAGGTCACTGGAGTGAGTTAATTAACAGTGTATTAATGAAATTAACGTTTCTTTATCTAAAGGTTGAATTTGCTAATAAACTGTATACAAACTTATTGATCATTAGATAATTTCACTGCTCTACTGGTTTAAACTATATTTATTTTAATATATTTTAACGCTCTATTAATTATCCATACGGTAAAGGAGGTTCTTTAGATTAATAAAACACTGAACAATTCTGATGAATGGTTGTTTACTTTATTTGCAAACAACTCTATATAATCCGCCAATGTTCTCTATACAGTTTGTTCAGGAAAGTTTCCTTTCAAAATAAATGCGTGTATCACGTCTACTGTATTTCAGATAATGATCATCAATTTGGCACAGCGTTCTATCTGCACGTATCGGACACTGTATCGAACCTATAAAAGGCATGGATGGATAAGCTAGAAATACACTACGTTATTTTACAGTTTTACTTGTTTCTCTAGATCTTAACATAGGTGTTACATTCATTTAAGTTTTTCGTTTTTGCAACATCCTAGATACATTCGTGTTAAAATAAACTGATTGATTCATTACAAAATTTTGATATGAGATTATTGACGTCTGTCAAAGAACTTTTCCAGAAATCCTTCCAAGATTTATGTAAAAGTTCTTATTTCCAGATTTTCTCAGATCTCAGAATAGACTAGCCATTAAAATTTAGAGAGAAAGTGGCAAATTAAGTTTTTATCGCCATATTTAGATCTTTAAAAGAATAAACATGTTCAGAAACTTACAAAAAGGTGTTTCCAGGCCTGTAGCCAGGATTTTGCGAAGATGGGATCGACTTTTTTACCTTCAGAAATAGTGTGAAGTCTTATCAACTAGTAACTTTTTTTGACGAGATTCAGGGGGGTGTTCGGTATATATTATAACGATTAATGGTCAATAATTTCAAAATGAAGAGTACAGTAACAGAAGCGTTTTTTAATTTCATGATTTATTCTAAATTATATTCGGCGTTTCGAACTATAAAACGTTCATTTTCAAGAATAAACAAATTATTTTCGGTTTTACAAGCTACGTACATAGAAGCGTGTCGCACGAACTTTCAATGGAAACAAAATCTTTGAAAGGTGAGATAGCGGATATTAATTTTTCTAAAACATTTTTTAGTCGCTTCTCATTTACGTTCCAGAAAACTTAATTTCTCCTTTATATTAAAAATAAATTTTTTGTATACTGTTCGATGTATTCGTGCTGTCCTCCTGCGTCCTGTCAATGTTCGTGCAACGAACTTGTGTTCTATTGTATTCTACTGCTTGACAGCTGTATTTGACTCCTATCCCTTAATGTCTGTTTTTAGCTTATCCATGCAATCCTGCTTTTGCATGTTTTGCGGACGGATACACGCGAGTGTCGGTCTCGGTACAAATATGATACAATGAGCTATCAGGACTTTTCGTTGTATCTTATGCTTGTAGGATAATATGTAAAATTTAATCTCTGATTCTGATCAAATTTTGGCAGTAGCTAGCCGTACTCGAGTCACAAATATAAGTTAAGTTTCAACCTTAACTGTTGTTTCTTTTATTTCTGGAATATTAGAAAACTAGAAACAAAACAAACATTCTTTTTCGACTTTTTGGACTTGTGTCAAACCCGATATAATATAATGTAACATAACGTTGTGTGGCCGCAGATATAATAAATCTGCTTTATCTCGTGCACTTTTTTTGGTTTTATATGACACAACTTCATTGGATGGAAGTTTCAGAATTAAACAAGGATTAAATGGAATTTCACTTCCTGTTTTCATTTTTCTCGGCCTTGCTACAAATACTGAGATATTCACTATTCTACACTATAGAGGGAGCTGTTATTGTGAATATCTCGGTACTTGTAGCAAGGCCGAGAAAAATGAAAACAGGAAGTGAAATTCCATTTAATCTTGTTTAATTCTGAAACTTCATCCTATGAAGTTGTGTCATAATAAACGGAAAAATTGTATGGGAATCTGATCTGCTAATGATTCGATGAGCCATCAATAGCTGTGACCATACCAATACAAGCATCCAATAAAAACAATATAAACAAAATGAGTGTGGTTTGAGTTTAATATTAAATTGAAGTACTGTACATACAATAAAAAGATATGTCTTTCTCTCATTTTTGTCCTACTGTTTCACTGGGCATCTTCAACGGAAGGGTACAAGTACAAAAAGTCTCTGAATGAAGATTTGATCATTGTAGACTAGCCTTGACTGTAGTCACAATGTTATTCCACAAGGTTATTCTAACTCTATTTGTAGTGAGAAGGTGATGCTAAATTAACTTGACAGTGATTTTTTCAGTTAAATGTTCTGAAGAAACTTTTTGGACTGATTCTTTTCTTGAATTATTAGGGGATAGTCCAGCCTCTTTTCTTAAAGAAATATCCTGTGTGGAAAAAACCCAGTTGAGTCATCGAATAGAATATAAATATTTTGAGAGAAAATCAAATCATTACAAACTAATTAGTCAGAAAAAAACGGGTAAAAACATTCGACTCATATTGTCCAATAATTACCGGATGAGTCTGGATTAAGTTACTTCTGGTTCATTTGAAGCTAATTATTCTTCCACTGTTTGTAGAACTACAGGCGCTTATTGTATCAGTCGTTTAAGTCGAGAAAATTTACAGAGTATCCAATTAAAAAGTATTCAAGAGAGAAGAGAGAGAGTATTCAGAGTATTCAATTAATTCAAAAATATTGAGTTTCTCATTTACTATTGACGTTTATGTTTATAGAAAAGCTAAATGTACGCGATTGACTTTTTTTCTTAGTTGTTACCCGCATCCCATGAATGTCAATTTTACATATAGTCTGGAAAAGAATGCGCGAGATGTTCCAGTATCTCAAACTCAGTGTACATAGTTTATTTTTTTTCCGAGCGGGACTCCAAAATCAGATCGAATAAAGAACGTAAGCAATAGTTTTTTTGTTGCTGTGAACGCTAGTCATATTGTAAAGTTCTTTCCCTCTTTTCCTTTCTTTGCGGTTTAATGTTAAAAATTTTATTTTTATTGTGCATTTGTTTACTAATAAGAAAATCAATAACATTATTAGTATTCAAGGGCAACAATATAAATATGAAGTTTAGTGCAATTGCGGCTAACTGGGGTTGCTGGATTCAAAGCCGCAATTGCACTAAACTTCATATTTACTAATAAGAAAAAACGATCTTTTTTTGGTACTTTGTTTGGTACATGATCTTTTACCAAGATCTACTAGTGCAAGAGTGTTGAAGCTTTCATTTGCACAGAATTTTGATATATACTGATAGTATGATCATACTTATCAAATTACAAATTGAATAGCATTTAGTTTTACTGTTTTTGTTGTTATTATTTTAGATATGAATTTACCATCATATGGAACTGATCGTTATTTAACTTTGCACATAGTTTGTTCTTCAAATGGTTCGTCTGTGATAAGTCAAGAGTTATTAGAAAAATACTTTTCATCCTATGGTCGTATATTAGAAAAACGATATCATTCATCAGATATTACTTCATTAACATTTCTAGAATGTTCAACGGTCGATACTATTCTATCGCAACGTCCACATTATATTAATGATAAATTAGTTTGTGTTCGACGACGTTTACCAGAATTAAACCAATATCAAACACATGAATTATTTTTATATGATTATAGTGGTAAATTGTCAGATTTGGCACTAAAAAAATATTTTCAAAAATATGGTACTGTTCAGTCATTTACACAAAACAAAAAAAAAAATTGTTCCTATTTAACATTTGTTAACAAGGATGAAGATATTATTGATAGAATTCTATTAGGTAAGTATCTCAAGTATAAGTTATACAATAGGATATTGAGTTAGCGTTGAGTTATCAAATGACTATTCACACGTATTTCTGAGCGGTTACCGTGTGTTTTTGTTTTTTAATTTTGAGGTTTTTTAAACATTATTTTGTAAAAAATATTGTAGCACAAAACGTACTTAAGTCTTTTTGGCCTAATGTAAATTACTGAAAAATTTTGAAAATCATCAAAATTTACAATTTTTCGTTCAAAAACTTTTTAACGGGTGATTCCTCGAAATTTGCTCAACTCGTATAATTATCTATTTAAACTCTAAGCATCAGTATTGTTTTTTTATTCTTCGAGATAAACCTCACTTCATTGATACACATTATGTTCAAGTAGAATTATCAAATAACAATAATGAGTTTAAAGAAGAATGTGATAATTTACGATTGAAATTGTACGAATTAATGACAACGGATCATTTATTAGAAAAATATGATCAGCTAAAAGAACAACATAAATGCATCAAAGAAGAACTAGAACAAAAAACCATCGAATTAGATATGATGAAATTTCTCAAACAATTATATCATGATAATAACCAAGAAAATTGTACATTAAAGCAAGACTTAGAAAACTATAAACAATACTATATTCAGCTTAAGTAAGTAGATATAGAAACTCTTATATACGGTATTCTAAGATCTCAGATCGGATGAACATTGTTTTTTCACAATTTTACTTTCACAACTAGTTTTAAATGTAATACTCATGAGAACAATTTTGAAACTAATTCAGTACTCCGAAAATTAATAAATTCGACCAACGAAAGTTTAATGAAAGTCGATCTAATAGTAATCTGGAGTTATACAACTATTTCTTTTGATCTAATATGTATTATTGTATTTTGTTTGTCCTTGCAGGAATACAAATCAACGGTCACATGATGAAAACGAACGGTATCAAGATGATATCAAAAACTTGCAACAAATAAATCGACAATTGTATGATGAACTTGATAAATTGAAACAAGAAACATATGATTATCAACAAAGAGATTCTCAAAGTGTTAACGAAGAATTTGAAAAATTAAAACAGAATTATCAACAACTATTGACTATTCATCAAAAAAGCGGAATAAAAAGTCTACAACAAGAGAATAAACAACTTTATAATGAATTGAAACAATTAAAAGAAACAGGTGAACAGCAAGAGCAGCATCATAAAGAAAAATATGATGAATTAAAGCATGATTATGATCAAGTGATTATAAACAGTCAAAAATGTTTACAAAATAATCGTGATAAGATACAATTGCTTCGTGAGAAACAAAACAACATTCAAGAAGAATTAAATTTGATCAAAGAACAAAGTTTAGGTATGTTGATAAAGAAAATGTCAGCTCGAAGAAGGAAAATGGAACATAAGCTTAGAACTTCATCGTCGATTTTAATTGTACCAGAAACAGTATGATTTTATCAGTTCTTTGTTTTTCTATTATATGCTACATCAGTTCATTGAAATTTTAGATCAATTAAGGCAATTACGAACAATGACATCAGCCTACGAACTATCCACAGAAGTTGTCAAATGGCTAAATGACAAAATTGCTGTTTTGGAACAAGAACGAGTTCAATTTCGAGAACAATTTGCAGAACTACAACAATTGTATCAGCTCGATTCTCATGATTCCATAAATCTTCTCGAAAATGAAGTTATCTCACAGACAACAACAACAACACATCACACTGTAGAACTACATACTCCACTTTTACGGCATTCCGATATTTATGATGACGAAATCCAACAAGGACCACTATTGAAAAAACCGAAACAAAGTCGTTCAACAATAACCTCTGTTATTGTTCAACATCAACAAGAGTAAGCTGTTTCTCTGTCGACCAATGCTGAGTCAATTTTTTCGATACAAGAAACTTTACACGTCAAGTTTCAAAACTCTATTTTATCTTGACGTTTTTTTGTAAAATCTTAGACTTTCTAATACTAATTTTTCCTCATTCTAGTGATAAACTCGAAGAAAGATGTTTAAGTGGACCGCATACCCCACCATTATCACCATGCACTTCGGTTATTTCTGTGAAAAATGTTAAACCAAGTTCGAATAAATTGCCAAAACTAAAAAGTTCAAAATCATCAATAACAATCACTCATAAATCATGTAAACCATTAATAATACCGGCAAGTCATAAACAGTCAAAATTAACAGGTGGAAAAGTTCGATCGAATAAAGTTCTTAAAAAACTTCGTCGGCGTCCAATAGCGGTAAAATAAAGTTTTTTTATCATCATAACTGTTGTTTTTTATTTTCCTTTGCTATTGTTGAATTGTCGACCAATGATTTGTTTATATTTTGAGATTATTAGATTTTTAATTTGTGCCTTGAAATCTGTTTTTGTATGAAATGAGCCATATCATTTTTTTTGTCAACTATCTTTTCGATCACTCGACATAATCTTCTAAAATGATTGAAATTTTTGTTAAGTTCTTTGACCAGTTATTTGTTATGTATTTTATTTCAATTTCTTCATCTGTCTTCCTTAGTCATTTTTTTTGTTTGTGTATGTAACAGTCTGACATATGTTGTAAATACTTATGTGTTAAACAGAGATAATTTACTACTCAGGTATTCAACTGTGATGAATTCACTTATTTTGTCAAGTATCACATCGAGATAATATTGTTTGGTATGAGACTTTGATAAAAGAAAAACAGTATGCTTTCGCACTATTTTTTTGTTGTTGCGTTAAAACAGATGTGTATTTTTATTTCTTGCTCTCTTCTCTTTGCACTCATTTTTGGTTTGTTCTATTGACAAACTATCATTGTTAATTGTTGAGGTTTTTTTCTTATTTTGTTTTGTTTCGATTATGTTTAAATAAAGAGTTGCATGAAATATACCATTCCTCATATATATACTATCATCCTTTTAACAATTTTAATATTCTACGTTTACGCTTTCTAAAAATAAAATTGTATTTTTCAGATTTTATTTATTTCGTTGTTGTTCTTGTAAATATTGTACAGAATCATGTCTGTTTCATCATCATCATCTTACTCAAAAGAAAAGTCAACTGATGCTAGTCCAAATTGTATAATAATTCGGTTAAAACATGCTGATTACGGAAATTTTAAAGATGGTTTCAAACATTATTTGATTCCAAAATATGGTCTACCTCCCAGTCGACATTGTGAACATACATTTCAGGTTAGAAATAGAAGTCTGAATCGATGAATAAAAATTCCTATAATTTGACTTCGTACAATAGTTGCGTTGCGTTCAAGAACAGAAAAGAAGATGGTCGATACTTGAGAAAAACGGAGGAATATGCGAAACCGATTATTTTGTTTTGATTCTATTTGAATAGTTTTATATAGTCTAAAATCTTTTTGTTCCTACTTTCTAGGTTAAAAGTTATGACAAACCAAGTGAGTTGTTCGATTTATTTACGATCATTTTTTGGGCATTTCATCATAGGTCTTTTTATCATTGTTTTCTCTTCTTATATACATGACGCATTCTCCTACTTACGTTAAGTTTCAATATTTTAGTAGAAGTATTGCAAGAATTCTATAAATGGTATTATGATAATCCATTTGGAAAATGCGATTTAATTAAAGAGTTTCAATTGTGTTTATGTTTATCAAAACAAGATAATAAATATGTACCATTGAAATATAATGGTAAGAGAACAATCGATGACTATTGTCGAGAATATGGAATTTACACAAAACAACCGATTGAAATGTGGCTAATGGAACGTGGAGAATTTCAACAAAACCATAGTATTGGACAAGATCATTGATTGCTAGTGGTTTTTCTTTTTTTCTCTATTTTTTGTGATAAAAAGTAAACTATAGGTTGTTGTAAGTATTGTATAGATATTGTTTTTCTTTTTCTTTATGCAAAAATATTCAAAGATTAATAAATTATGGCGTAATTCGATTGAATAAAAAGAATTTGCAGTGAATAAAAGAGAAAACTATCTAAGTTCGTAGCACTCGGATTATTTGATTCCTGAATATGGTGCTACCTTCCAGTAGCCATTGTGGACGTACATTTCCAGCTAGAAATACGAGTCTGATTTGATAAACTAAAAACATTCTACTTCAACTAGGTAGCAAGTAAATCGTGTCATTTGTCTCGCAACTAGACATGCATTGATTCTGATCGATTCTAGATACAGGCATATCAGAATCAATGAAAAAGGTAAAAAAGCTCTTACTTAAATATCCAACCGACAAATACAACTCAAAGAACTATTCACTTCTGAACAGAGGGTTGTGCATGGGTTATCTCCCTTTTCCAATGCGAAATACAACTCAACTCTCTCTTCGATCGCTCTTGCCGTGAACTGTTTTTTGCACGGATCATTGGGCACAATTAACGAGTTTTCTGAAAATCCTTTGGAGGTCTAAAGATGTCTTCGAATACCATATTCGTCCGTTGTTTAACACAGAGAACAACTCAGCAATTGTATTGATAGAAAATTACTTAGGAAGTTTTCTGAACACCCCTAGTTCCCTGAACCCGGATCGAACCGATGCCACGGCAGACAATTAAGTACACGTTTTTCGCTTATCTCTCGATTTACGGTGAAACTTTCTGAAATCAAATTTTTTTGGTCTGAAGACAAACCATAACTTTCACTTGTCAAATCAAGTACGGAGCGACTTCAAAAGTTTTCTGGAAACCCTCATCCTGCTAGGACTACTGCTCATAGATGTTTAATAGTTAGCTAATTGTTTAGGTGTAGTTCTGTCCTGATTATTTGCCTCTAGCAGTTTTCACCTATATAAGGGTACCCCTCCCTCTTTTTTCACCCCATTGCCAAATGCGGAGCACACATCCGATCGAGGTCAGATTTATAGCAGAGATAGAACAACGAAAAAGAAAATCGATATATTTTTGTCCAGAATTTTCTGAGATGTTCTTCTACGGGTTTCCTGGAAAACTCCAGTTTTTCATCCAGTCACATTACGACCCCTCGAAAAAATGATCTGATCGAGCTCAAATTTTGACTCTAGATACTTCAGACCTTATCTCAGGAGTAAAATTTTTCTTTTCGAAAAATATGCTTTCCTTCTCGAGATATTCAAAAAATCCCGTATAGAAAACCGGTTTTTGATTTTAAAAACCTTCTCACACCGAAAGTTGAAATCGAAAAACGCTAAAAAAAATTTGACTGCTGAGATAGGGTCTGAAGTAAATGTGGTAAAAATTTAAGCCCGATCGGACCATTTTTTCGAGGGGTCGTAATGTGACTGGATTGAAGAGACGATCGAAAATACGCATAGTGAGAAAAACACATATTGTTTTGATTAAAAGGGAAGATACTTTAATTTCGTATTTTATTATAATAAAATACGAAATTAAAGTATCTTCCCTTTTAATCAAATCTTATCTATTTCATATCAGCCAAGTGTTGCTCAATATGTCACACATATTGTTCACAGGCTCTGTTTTTCAGGGCATTTGCGGTGATGCTTATATCTTCAAGAAAAGTCATTGAAAAATTCTACAAGATGTCTAATTTTGAAGGGCAGATTTTCTGCAATCCTTCCAGGAATCAGATAAAATTTTGAATATATAGGAAAGGAGACAAAAATTTACGAAACTAAAAAATTGAGATTTTTTAGACACTGAAGGAAAAAATTAAAAACTTCATAACTTTTTCAAGGAAGGGCATGGAGAGTTGGGAGTGGTCTCATTTTATAGCCCAGACTTTCCTCTACATTGGGCTATGTTCAGCTCAAAATGAAAAATTTTTTGCAAAAAAGAGATGGGTACCCTCAAGACCGGCTTCATTTATTTCTTTTTCTTTTAACTTTTTTGGCGGTGTCGTTGCGAGAAGAATGTTTGTTGCTCGGGGAACAAGTTTCCGCCGTATTGATTGAGCTAATTCATGTAATATGGTGATTAACAACGCTGTCCATTTTTGAAGAATTCTATCATTTGTTTCCAACAACCAGTCGCAGCTGAAAGCAAAAAAAGAAAGTAAACAACTTGAGAGAATTGATACAACTTGAAAGCTGTTACCTCGTCATCGCAATGATATTCAGAAATATACCGCTAGTGGCATATCACCGATAAAAAATTAAAGTTCATTCAGAGTTAAAGAAAAGTGGTTTTTAATAATTAGCACAAATTATTTGAAGGGAAAATTTAGATTTTTTTAGTTGGG